GCCTCCCGGCCGGGCCCTGCCCACGGCCCCCTTGGTAGCAGTGCCCGGGGGTGCTGGGCACACACCTGTGTCGCCTTGCACACCCCACGTGTGCTCCCCTGGCTCAGCACCCCCCAGACACACACCTTGAGCCCTGGATGCACATCAGCGCACCGCACATAGGGATGTATGTACACCCCAATGCAGACGGACATATGGAAACCCCTTGTGCAGGCATACGCATCACCCCAGCACAGCACCCGGCATCTGCACGCACACACAGACTCGCGGTCCACGCATCCCCCTCGTAACACATACACACCCCCACACACCAGTGCACGCGTGACCCTCCTTATGTACTGGGGTCCCCCCCCCACTTTATGTCCCACCAGGCTTCAGCGCATCCCCGACCCAAGGCACTCATCCCTCAGGAGGGTTTGGGGGCTCCCCATGCACCCCTCTCCCCCCCATCCCTAGCACAGCCCAGCCCTTGGGGAAACTGAGGCAGAGAGTGGGCAGGCAGAGATGGGTGTCTCCCCGCAGCCCATCACCTCTCGAAGCACCGGCAGCGATGGGTGGGAGCTTGGAGAAGACGCAGGCTGTGTGTCTGTGTATGTCTGTGTGTCAGGAGGGAGGAAAATAACATTTGTGTAGGTGTGTGCTGCGTGGGTGTTTTGCGCTGGAGCCGGCATGCCAGTGCTGCCGTGCCACGCTGCCTTTGCAGCGGCTGTGCACGCTGCGTGTGCACATCTGGGTGTGCCCGTGTCAGCACCCTGCCCACGCCCTGGCGCGTGTGACGGCGTGTCTGCAGGGGTGGCGTGGGCACGCATGTCCGTGCGATGCCATGTGCGCAGCTCAGACCAGCACAGCATCTCCATGCGTGTGACACGGCGCGTGCGGCCAGGCGTGCTTGGGCACATGTGGCTTAGGGATGACGAATGGTGCTCGGGGGTGCCCACACGTGTGCAATGCTGCATTGCCCCTCAACGGAGTGGGGGGCTCTACAACCCTGGTCTCGCATCCTCTAGACCCCCAGCTGCGGTGGAGCTGGTGCCTGGCACGGCCAAGGTTAACTCTGCCGAAGCCCGGCGGCACGGTGCAGGGAAGCTTTAATTTAATGAAGTGTGAGGCTTTTTATGGGCTTTTAATTTCGCAGTGATAATTAACATTATAGGCCGCCGGGTCCCGCTGGTGCCCGGCTGCCCTGTGCCAGCTCCCGCCTGTTTGCAAATAAACCCTGCAGGCTACATGGTGCCCACCCCATGGCACCCACCTCCCACTGCTGGAAGCAGCCCCAGCCCTCTGCCCACCCCCTGCGGTGAG